GCTCATTTATGGCACGAAACTAAAATCTTAACAGTAAATCCTCTGTCTTTGTGTCGGTTCATTAGGGATGCTCCAATCAGGATCAGCTGATGGAAAAGATTTAATTTTAACAATGTATTTTTTTTTACTAAAACTCTAATTTAACCAACAATTCAGATGTTTGATCTGTTAAACGTATTTCTTTAAATCTTATAAGTGCTTCAGTTTAATAATCCCGTTACCTCAATGTGCTTCATAGACGAAACTCTAAAACCCACAACATGTTTGAAGCCATCAAACATTTAAAACAACGTTAAATACTGCGTCAAATAAGACTGAATATGAAGCCTGAGCCGTAGAAAAGGTTAAATTTAGGAATAAAACACATTTTAATTTCTGAATTTTACTACTATCAAGTATACATATTTACAGTTATTTTTAGCTACCTGGAAGTTCAGCTTTTTCCAGGTGCTTCTAATGCATAAAAACTCACCGCTGCTTCAGGGCAGACGTCATTACAGTGATGATCTAAAACTAAACTAAAGATATTTTATTGGGATAAAGATAAAAATATATTGCAATATTAACATTTTGGTCATTTCACCACCCACTACATTAACATTTTTGAGTTTAACTCTCAACTTCCATCCTAATATTTAAACATTTTTTAATTAAACCAGGATACTGCTGCCAAATTTATGTCTTAAAGATGATTATTATTATTATTATTTTTTGTAAAACAGGACTACTGTCTGTTGTGTTTACACATTTCATATCCATACTCCTAAAAATAAATATACCATCAGAACCACAATAAATCAACCATCATTTGTGCAAAAACCTCTCTCAGGTAAAGTTTATCAAAGATCACCAAATTAAAACAAATAGAGTTGCTACATGATATTAAAGCTTTCTTCTGTCCTGACTCATTACTTCTGAGTTTTAAGTGGGGCGGCGTTACAGCAGCAAACAAAGTGCTTCATAAAACGTTTAACTTTTACTGTAATTAAACTTTGACTTTAATTAAATCAAAAACATAAAGCAGCTGATTTTGGAACAATTGTACCATGGACGATCAAACTGGTATTTTTTGTGGTAAATAGTAGCATAATGTGGAACCGTTCTGGGCCAGTTTCAGACCAGTTTTTTGACCAGGTTTAGAACAGTTCTGGATCAGTTTTGGACCAGTTTTAGAGCAATTTTTAGACCAGTTTTGGAACGATTATTATCAGCTGTGGTTGTAGTGATCAGATTATTATCAGCTGTGGTTGTAGTGATCAG